ATTCCCAAGAGGATAGAATCCAGGTAGAACTCAATGTCCAGCACAGAAAAGAATATAATATAAGTGTTTGAGGCTTGTATATTATATATATATATATATATATATATATATATATATATATATATGTGTGTGTGTGTGAGTGAGTTGCTCTAAAGGAAACACGCTTCTTTTTTTTTTACGATAATGCATTCATGACGAGATAGCAAAGTGTACAGGATTTGGTGTAAGGTGAAGTAAAGCAGATGTATCGAAATGGAAATAAGTAAATGATCCCTTAATAAAAGAAAATAATGATAAAACAAAAAAAATATATATATATATACAGAAAACAAAATGCTGAGCCCTGCAAATGTCAGTGTTTGTGAAATGATGGTGGCCGTGCGTGTGCAAGGAGGCGTCATTCACAATGGAAGGATGAAGGACAGATAAGAACCAATGGTGGTAAGTGTATTGTTCTCTGCCCGCCAGAGAATTGTTGTTGTCCGGTTGTCTTTGGATTTGATAAATGTTTGAGCGCGAAACAGTAATTCAGCAAATATGGCCGACACGATATAATTTCCTCTCCCATGAGCGCCTTTCCATAACACTGAAATTAGTTTGCTATGACTGCATGAAAACTACTTGACTTTCAATATATATTTTAAATTCATTTCGTCAGAATTCAAATTACTGCTGATACCGACAAGGGAAAGAGGAGTCAACATACATACATGCGTCCATATATATATATATATATATATATATATATATATATATATATATATATATATGTATGTATAAATATGGATGTATCTGAATAGCGTCGTTGCTAATTTAATTTAATATCGATATTACCCCCCCAAAATGTCGCCAAAGCCGACACTTAAGTTTTTGCATCATAAGTTCAATTGTTACCACAAATATATATATATATATATATATATATATATATATATATATATATATATATATACAGTCGCAGAGACACATTTAAATATAGAAAGAATAGACAGAAATAAACACTGCACTACAAGGGACACACTTTCTCGTTCCAAGCAATATTCTAATGGTCTATAAAAAGGGGTTGTCATAGGAATAAACAGTCAATTAAAACAATAGCATGAAGATAGCAACAAGTGTCAAACAGTCATCAAACATTCCTAAGTCCATGAAGTATATATATATATATATATATATATATATATATATATATATATATATATATATATAATGTAATGTAATTAAAATTTTTCGCTCAACTGCCTGATGTTATCATCAGCATTCAGACTCAGAGTTTCTTAGACGGACATGTTCGTCCAATTTTTGGAGGTATCAGCAATTTATATATATATATATATATATATATATATATATATATATATGGGATGGGTAAATATAGGTAGGTATGGGTAAATATAGATTGGTAGCGAAAGACCGTATACAAATACATACATTATAAATAATCTATAGTGTAAGAAAAACAATGCTTAATGTTAAGTAACAGAGCTAATATATATACATGTGTATGTGCGCGTGTGTCTGAGCGTATATATATATGTGTGTGTGTGTGTGTGTACGTATATATATATATATATATATATAATAAACATACATTTTCTCACCAGTAGCTCGATGTAATTGTGAGGTGCTTATTTACAATTTCATTTATAGTATATGTAATGTCATATATATATATATATATATATATATATATATATATATATATATATATATATATATATATAAAAGAAATATGTTGTAGTGGTTCCAACGAGAAAAAGTATGTATATTAAAAAGAAGAGGGGGCCGCAAACGTTTTTGGTTGTAATGTGGATTTATTGAGAAAAATATTATACTTTGTTTTACATAATTTCACGACACGTGTTTCTGGTCTGGTCTCGCAACCGTCTTCAGGTGAAAGTGAGATTTTTACATATTATTAAAACTCCACTTTCACCTGAAGACGGTTGCGGAGACCAGACCAGAAACACGTGTCGTGAAATTATGTAAAACAAAGTATAATATTTTTTCTCAATAAATCCACATTACAACCAAGAACGTTTGCAGCACCCCTCTTCTTTTTAATATATATATATATATATATATATATATAAACAATGTGAACATAGAAATCAACGCTCAGTTAACGCTATGGTCTGAATAGCGCTTAAGTTGTGTGAAGTTGACTCTCACTATGTAGTGTTTATCCTTATGTCCACATCTACATTTGTCTATATTGAGCACTGTTATCATTTTTAACAAAAAAAAAAAAATGGCTGCATTCTTACCTTCCAGATTTAGTAATTATCATTTCAGTTCCTAGATCGTGAAATTTGTTCCACAGTTCTTTCGTTTCCAACGTGCACGTGATGTTAGCCATTTCTACGCTGCCGTTGCTGCTAGGTAAGTTGGTCGCGAGCGGTGATTTCGGTTCAACCACTATAGGACTGGAGTTCCGACTTGTTCCGTTGGACAGTCCACAGATATCGAGTGGGCCAAGTTTGCTTTCAGATGTGTCCATTGCTGATGGTGATTTCTCGGCGACATTTTCTATTGATAAAGAAATAGAAAAGAAAAACAGTTTTTAAGTATATCATTTCTTCGTTAAGGAGCGAAATTATTTTGTGCGTGCGAGAATGAAAATCTCATAGACACTTGATTAATTTTTAATAAACTATGTATAACGGGTTAATGATGAATTCTTTGCAGTAAGGATTTAGTAAACGGTTTTTTGTAAGGACTTTTTGAACCATGCAATTCTTTGCAGTAAGGATTAATAAAACGATGCAATTTTTGCACTAAGGATTAATTAAACGATGCAGTTTTTGCTGTAAGAATTTATTTAACAATGCGAATCTTTGCTATAAAGATTTATTCATCGGAGCAATTCTTTGCTGTAAGGATATTATTAAACGATGCAATTCTCTGCAGTAAGAATTTATTAAACGAATGCTTTAAAATATTTACTACAATAATTCGTTACAATTACTTATTTAAAAAATTCTTTAATTTCAATTCACTATAATCATTGCATAGTAACAGCGAATACTAAAATAATTTATAGATATTCATTTGGAAATTATTGTACTATAGAATTGCAATGGAAATTATTTTACTATATAATGGGATTACGGTTATTTAGTATTTTAAATTCGTCATAACTTTCATTGACTCAGATCATTACATATGTATATATATATATATACATATATATATATATATATATATATATATATATATATATATATATATATATATATAGAGAGAGAGAGAGAGAGAGAGAACAAATATTAAAAGCATTCATAGAAATTAAGTGGAAATTATGTTGCTATAGAAATCTATTACAATTATGCATTTTTAAGGCCCAAAAGCTTTCATTCACTTTAATATTTACAAAGTAAATATCAAAAGCATTTATAGAAATACATTAGAAATTATTTTGCTATAGAAATTCATTAGAATTATTTACTTAAAAAAAGTACAGCAAACAGACCCGGTTGCAAATATTGAACCTGTAACAATTTTATGGGATTTGCAATACAGACAGACAGACAGACAGACAGAACAAACAAAACTAATCGTCCAGACATTGTGATCAAAGACCACAAGAACAAAATATGGTTTCTTATTGACTTGGCACTCCCTGCAGATTGTAATGTATCTTTGAAGATCTACAAAATCTATCAAAATACAGGGATCTTGGAGAGGAAATCTAAAATATAAGGTGGCACATGAGGACATCAATAATTCCAGTTGTATTTGGAACACTCGGATTGATTTCCGATAGACTAATTGAATAGATTCCTTGTAGCCTTAAATAAATACAAATTGTACTCACAATTATAGCTCCCACATTACGAAGAGCTATATCTCTGTAAATTGTGCACAATCTTTGGGTTTTCTATTCTTTTTCTTTTTTTTTTATCAGTGTGAAAACTCATGAAGCTCTTTCTGACCTTAGGACTCTGTTTGGGACCCGGAAGTAAACGTTTGTAGAAACCAAAGGAAATAATAATAATAATAATAATAATAATAATAATAATAATAATAATAATAATAATGTCATTTCTGATCTTAGGTCTCTGATTGGGACTCGGAAAGAAATGAATACGCACTGGAAATAATAATAATAATAATAATAATAATAATAATAATAATAATAATAACAAGGACCTTGAAATAGAAATCTCGAAAATGTGGCATATGGGAACATCAACAATCCCTGTTGTAGTTGGAGTCCTAGGACTGGTTGGAAAAGATTGCAGTAGACTAATTGAAGGGATTCCTGGAAGTCCATGCCTCAAGGAGATACAAAAAATTGTTCTGACAAGTACAGCCCACACCTTACGAAGAGCTTTATCTATGTAATTTAATTCTTTTTTTTTTTTTTGTTCAGTGGAAAGTGTCATGACGCCATTTCTAACCTTAGGTCCCTGGGCGGGACCCGGAAAGAAATGTGTAAACGCCAGAAATCAAAGAAAATAAAAAAGATAATAATAATAATAGTTTTTTTTTTTCAATATTATAAAAATAAAAAAGTAAAAGAAGATAGTTAATCGTTACTTATATTTTGAGCAGCTTATCCTTTTTCGGAATAATCCAAGTACTTGCATTAAAGAATAATTATCAAGATATCGTAATACGACAGGAATATTAGTCAAAGCTCTTCCTCGACCCAGAGCTGATTAAATATTCAATTATGATTTATTATTGTGTATCGTTACGAAACTACAAACAGGTTCAAAGTTTATTTTAGTAAATTACATACAAATGATCGATATTCTATTGTCTAACACTTAAGTCTAATCGCTCAAAGCTTCTGTTACATATTACGCCCACTGAAGGAATTCTTGTATTTTTATTTAGTTATTTGTTTGTTTTGTTTTTTTTTTGTTTTTTTTTTATTATTTAAAATTTATTTGTATTCAAGATCCATATTCAAACATTATTATTTTATTTTATTTTTGCTGTATTCAGTTTTGGTCGATTTCACAACCTGCGCAGTTCAAGCTTCTACCCCAACTCTGAATTTTCTAACTGCCCTTACAGTTTTCTTTTCGGTTGGGAAGAACGAAATTGAAGAAGATTTTTTTTAAAAATGGTCTAGCTATCATTTCTCTGCTGAGATACATTTTCAAGCTTCATTACGCTAGACATTTCACCATAACTAAGCCAGTTATCCGAACACCACCCCTAAGGCAGCTCTTCTGATAAACAAACTAAGTTAAAAGAACTAAGTAAAAGAAACAATATCAGAACCGTAAAATAAAATAATATAAGAAAAACTAAAATCGGTATTTATTGTGTCCGAGTTGGGGGGAAAAAAGTGAAAACTACCATTGGACAAACAGAAAATTAAAATAAACAAAGAAAAATTCTCAGAATCATTTTATTTATTGCCTGTCATGACACTAAATTACTACAGCAAAATATAAGAAAAAAGAGAACTTGTATTTTTTTTTTTTTTGAGACACTTCCTGAAGCACTTCAAAGTATTTTCTCTGTAGTTTTTTCCCCCCCAAAGTTAGCTATTTTTCTTATCGGCTAGTGTTTCACGATACTGCGTTCTTTGTTGTTGTTAATATGGAAATCGTTTTAACAGCGCTAAGAAGACGTAAACAAACAAACAAACAAAACTAAAGGGGGACATAAATCTCCCCAGCAAACAAACAAATAATGCCCTCTCTTTCCCCACAAACCACTTCTCAAGAAAACAAAACAAAAAAGAAACAGATAGAATTAAAAAAAAACAATATTGAAACACTAACGGAAAAATGAAATAACGAAAGAAATGCAGAAAAATCCTGGCAATAATAATAATAATAATAATAATAATAATAATAATAATAATAATGATAAAAAAACAAAGAGAGTAAACAGCTGTACGCTAGTATAAGTAAGTGTATATATCTTGCATATAGGAAGTTAGTGACGTGGTCTCTAGAAAGATGGCCCCCGCCATACAACTTCTGTTCTCCTCCAGCCTAGAGCCTCCGCGCATTTTCCTCTCCAAAGATGTTTCGTTTCAAATTCACGGAACATGTACATATTTCAAATCGGAAGCGTTAGCTCTTGTCAAATCTCAATAAATATACGAGTCAATTCACAATATCTACGCGGCCCGACCAACCCAGATTTCCTCCGCACACCGACAGCCATGCAGAGTCTTTTAGCTTTTTTTTTTCCCGCCTTTTTCCTTTCTCTTCGTTTACGTCCGCCATTATGGAGTGTTTTCCCCTCTTTGAGTTCTCGTCTCCATTTTTCGCGCCCTGCTCTCTCGTTTTTTTTCTCATTTGCTTTTTTCCTACCCTCTCTGTCTAGCTTTAACATTTTCCTCATCTCTCCCTCTCTCTCTCTCTCTCTCTCTCTCTCTCTCTCTGTTTATCAATCTCTCTTTCACATTCATTATCTTTTTCATTCTTAGTCGTTTTATAGATTCAAATATAAACAACCAATATTTTACCTACCCATGATACAAGTAAATGCATCTCCAAAAATGAAAGGTCAATGAGGACATTACCTTTTTAAATTATTCTTACTGAGAAAATAAATAAAAACAGTAGTTTAGTATTAATGAGTACTTAAATTCAACTGAATAAGAAAAGAAATTTGCTATTTGAAAGATATCAAACGAAATATTTTGATAAAGACGATGATACGTTTCTAAAAATAATACTTCATCTGCCTGAAATCACTCCATCCACAAGAAAACATTAAAAAAAGGAAAGATTAAGGAAAGAGGAACATTAAAAAAAAAAGGAAAGATTAATGAAAGAGAAAGACAAAGAAAATGTAACAATGTGAAGAAAGAACGAAAGAAAACGACATGAAGAAATGTCGGAAGTCACGTGTCTACTTCGGGCCAATGAAAGAAAAGCAGCCGAATCATTTGGAAGATATCCTGGACAGCTTCCAAAATTAAAAAAAAAATACTGAAGGAGGATAAAAGAAAAGAAAACGCTCGCAAACAATTCTTATGAATACATCTTCGCCATAAATAAGACAGTCGAGACTTTTTGCAGTCGCAAATCTTTGTAAATTTTCTTTATCATAAACCTTTCATTTTCCGCGAGATCAGATGACATATTTATAATAGTCACAAGTTGATAGCATAAAGATAATTACGCGATAGAATCAGAGCCTTGGAAAACAATACTGAAGCCAATATTCATTTTCAGTGCATTTTTTAAATCAATTCGCCCCAAGCAAGACAAATAACACGCCATTAAAACGGGTAGTGGAATTGAAAGAAAGGGAAAAGTCTTTAGAAGGAACTGGAAACCTAATAATATTATGAATTAGAGAGATTAGACAGTGACGTTAGAAGTATAGAGTTGAAATAGAATTTAGAAGGAACCGGAAACTCAGTTATAAACAGGAAACAAGGAATAAGCCTCTACTCATGTTCAAAAGATCGGGGTGGAGTATAAACCGCACGATAGGTGAACTTATCTAGTACTATTGAGGATTAAGCAGCTCCAGCCCAGATATAACAGCAACACTTCATTTTGCATCTAGTTA